GCCCCCTTCCTACAAAAGGATTATTCCTTCCCATTGCTGAAGGACCCCATTATCTCATTTTTTTTAATTTGCTGGGGAAAGGAGGGGTACAGGAGACACAGCTCATAGTTTAATGGCTAGAGTGTAAGCTTTGCATGCAAGAAGGCTGGATCTGATTCTCAGCACCACATGGTTCCCTGAGTACCACCAGAAATGATGTCTGAGCATTTCCAGGTGTGGCCCCAAAACAAAATTTTTGAGGGGGCACATCCAGTGGTGCTCTGGGGGCGATTCAGTACCAAGGGTCGAACCCAGGACCTCACACATCCAAATCATGTGCTCCACCACCCATCTTTTGGGCCACACCCAGTCATGCTCAGAGTTCACCCCTGGTGGTGCTCAGGGGACCATATGCAGGTAAGCGCCTTAAGCCCTGCATTAGCCCTCTGGCCTTGCTCCAGCACTTATCCCACATCCTTGGTCTTCTCTTAGGAAAAATGTCCTGATGCGTCCCACTTCAGCAGCAACTAGTGGGCGGTTAAATAAAGGTGATTACTGAGAGGGTCTCGGTGAAAGTGGCTGAACCACAAATCCAAGCTCCAGGCAAGGAATCAGAAGGCTATAAAACCGTGGAGAGACTCACTAAAGGCAATGAGATAAGCCCTAGAAGAAACCCTGGGGATGGAGGAAGAGCAGGTCATAGAAAATGGCAGTCATGGGGCTGGAGAGATAGTACAGTGGGTAGGGCATTTGTCTTGTTAACCCAGGTTCCATCCCAAGGACCCAATATGGTCCCCTGAGCCTGCCAGGAATAATTCCTGAGTGCAGAACCAGTAGCAACCCCTGAGCATTGCTGGGTATAACCCCCCCAAAAAATAATAAAACCAGCCAGACTCTGAACCACAGCGATTTGGAGAGTAACTGCACTGGAGGGCTGGGCCCGCCATCCAGGGGGTACCTTGTTCTGTAGTTTTCGACAGGCGCTGGAGGAGTGAGCTCAGTAACAGCCTTTCCTCTGCGGTGCTCTAATAACTCAGGGCCACGGCCCCTTCAATTTAGCCTTCAGCACACAATAGCATTTATTATTACTGTATCCCTCACTACTGTGACCTCATTTTCCTGCAAACAGAACTGTGTAGGATTCATTTTTCTACCTCCAGATTCAGTCAGGGACTAACACAAAGAAAGGGCCCAAAGAATACTTGGTGAATAAAAGTGATCACTGAAGAGAAAGGAGAAAAAAGTAACTCCCAGGGCCGAAATATGTAGAGGTTAAGGTGCTGGCCTTGCACACAGCACCACTAACTTGATTCCTGAGTAAGAGTAAGAGTCAGGAGTAAGCAAGGTGTGGTCCAAACCTAAAAAAATTCCCTACAAGATGTCAAAAAATGAAATCCTAGAATTGATAAGGGGTACCTTCCAGTTCTGGATTTTGAGAATTCTGTGCCATTCACCCAATTCCAACCTACTTGCAAAGATAAGAAATAAAACTGAAACCTAGGGGCCAGAGCGATAATACAGCGGGTAGCGTTTGCCTTGCACATGGCCAACCCGGGTTCAATCCCCAGCATCCCATATGGTCCCTCAAGCACCACCAGGAGTAATTCCTGAGTGCAGAGCCAGGATAACCCCTGAGCATCGATGGGTGTGACAGAAAAAGAAAAAGAAAAAAACCCCAAAAAACTGAAACCTAGTCTGAGAGGGGGCTGCATGTTCCTTTAAGACTGAAGGTTTGATTTTTTTTTGGGGGGAGGGGGAGTTGGGCCCACAGCCAATAGTGCTTAGGGCTTACGTTTTGGCTCTGCACTCAGGAGGCCATATGGGAGGGCACCCATATGGGGATTGACACAGGTCAGCTGTGAGACAAAGGACCTTGGGGCCAAAGCAATAGTACAGCAAGTAGGTCATTTGCCTTGCACGCAGCTGACCCGGGTTTGATTCTGGGCATCCTATATGGTGCCCTGAGCACCGCCAGTAATAATTTCTGAGTGCGGAACCAGGACTGACCCCTGAGTCTCACTCTGTGTGAGCCAAAAAGGGAAAAAAAGGGACGAGTGAGTACCTTAACCTCTCCCACCCCTCCTCCTCTTTTGTTTTGGGGCCACGATGGACAGTGTTCCAGAGCTACTCCCAGCTCATTGCTCAGGGAGTGCGCCCAGCTTGGAGCACCATGTGGTGCTACATATTGAACCCAGGATGCCTACATGCAAAGCATACACTCCTGTCCAGTAAGCTACCTCTCTAGACCCTCTCTTATTTATAGGGGCTCACTCCTTGCCCTGAGGGCCTGGCAGTGCAGTGCTCACAGGACATTGGAGCTATACCCAGTGGTGCCAAGGAGGGATGAACTCAGGGACTCACGTGTTCTATCACTTGAACTATCTGCCCAAGTCTATGGGATCTAAGTTTGTTTTTTTTTTTTTTTGGTGGGGGGCTACACTCAGCTATGCTCAGGAGTTACTCGAGGCTCTGCACTCAGGAATTACTCCAGAATCGTATGGGATGGATGCCAGGGATCAAACTAGGGCCGGTCCTATAAAAGCAAAGTGCCCCCCATTACTATCTCTCTAGCCCTGGGCCCTAGTTGTTTTTTTTTCTTTTTGGGTCACACCCGGCAATGCACTGGCATTACTCCTGGCTCATGCACTCAGAAATCACTTCTTGCGGTGCTCAGGGGACCATATGGGATGCTGGGAATCGAACCCAGGTCAGCCACATACAACGCAAATGCCCTACCTGCTGTACTATCACCCCAGCCCCTGGACCCTAGTTCTTAAGAGGCTAAAATCCCCTGTTCCAATTTGTGCAGCCACATCCCAACTGCTCCAAGCCAGGTTCCCAGGTCAGTCCAACAAGAAATGGTGAAAACAGGTCCTAGAGAACCCAATGGTTCTCCTCTTATCTCTGAGGCTCGGATAGCTCGCCAAGTTCCAGAAAGTACAAGAACTTTTGGGAACCACAATGCCTAGCAAAGATCAGCTGATCCTACACACAGCAGTTAAAGAGAACTTCTAGAGATCAGGAGAGTTTCCTTCCTCCTACTTCTGAGTAACTTTCAAGAAGGAAATGCATCTTTTAGGCCTTGAAGAAAAACTCTGGTGGCCCCAAACTCCAGTCTTGGAATGTGCAAACTAATTCATCATCATAAGCGAAGCTATCTGACACCTGTGTCCTAGGAAGGAAGACCCAATCCAAAGAGTCTAGAGAGCTCCTGAAGCAAATGCTAAGAGCTGGCACTGAGGGGTTTCAATCTACAGCTCCTAGGAGCGTGTGGCCCATAGTCCCCGCTGCCCTCCTCCACTCACAAACCGTGAGAAACCTGACTCCATCTGGGTGGTGATGAGGAGGGTTGAATCCAGAGACAAAGCAGGCCCAGCTAAGGAGATCTGGACAGACCTTGTCCTCCTTGATCCGGGAGAATGACTAGACAGAACGAGTCAACTTCTGGGGCAAAAAAAAAAAAGTCTCGGGATGACAGCTTGTGTATCACCAGCATAACTGAACTCTCCTAAGAGACCTGACATCCCCTGCTCGCTGCTGCCAGCCTATCTGCAGAGCCTGAGATGTTTCTTTTCCTTTTCTTTTGAGATTTCCTTTTGTCCCTGCGATATTTAGGGCTCAGACATTGGCAAGCTGTCTCTTCCCCAAGTCCTGAGCTCTGTCGGGGAGGAATGCCTTCATGCATCAGTCGATGAGAAGAGACTTTACTCTCCCACCAACATACCTCCTTCTCCCAGACCTCTGAGGCTCCCTGAAGCCACCGTTAAGGGCAAGGTACCCCAAATTTAACCAGCTTCCTGCCCATTCGTAGGTGGCCGTGGCTGCTGGGAAGTGAGAGCGGCCTGACTCTGCAGTCTCCAGCTCTTCTTTTGTCCTTTCAGGAGATTCTCACCCACTCCCCCCACCCCGGGTCTGAGTCCGAGCCCCCCCCCCCAAACGAGCCCACCCCTTAAAGCAGCCTCCGGTCCAGCTCCTTGGCATGCTGGACGGCCTGCCCATCTCATACGTTTTCCGTGATAGTCATCTCAACACCGCCCTTCTTCTGGAATCATCCTCTGCTGGGGACTCGTTCTCTGACTCTAGAACGGGCAGCCGTGCGATGAGGCGTGCGCCTGAGATGGCAAATAAAGGGCCGGAGGCTCACAGATCCCACTTGGCCTCCTGGGATTCCCTCGGTCCCATAACAGGGTCGGTCTGTCTGTCTGTGTCTGTCTGTCTGTCTCTCTCTCTCTCTCTCTCACACACACACACACACACACACACACACACACACACACACCACTGCCTCGCGCCCCCATAGCTGGGGCCTGACCACAGATGGGGGTTGGGGGGCTGCTCACGGCCTCAGGCCAGAGACCAGATGCCGCCCTGACTGTCCCACGTGGGGCCCCTCCCGATTCCGACAGCTCTCCCGGCACGAGGGCCTATTCAGGGATACCACAAAGCGCGGTTCTGGGGGGCATGCCTCCTCGGCGGTCAGACAAGCAAGGGAGCATTCACCTACACCCTGGGCCGAACGCGACTGCGGGTTCTGAGGTCGGGCTGCTGCAGGTGGGCGCCCCGACCCCGTGCAGACGCCGGAGCTCGCCGTCGGCGCGCGGGCCCAGCCCCGAATGCTCGGCGGCGGGCGGGCGAGCAGAACGCGCCTAAGGCCGGGGCCCGCCCGCGAGCCCGCCTGCAAGCGCGTCTGGGGCTCGGGCAGGCCGGGCCAGACGGGGCGGGGCCCGCGGAGCCCCATCCGGGTGGTCGGGCTCCGAGAAACAGGCGCCCACCGCCGGCACGGGAAAGCCCGGCGAGACGCCCGACTGTCTCTCCGCTTTCTCCCGGGCCGCCGCCTCAGAGGACCGGACGGGAGGCGGAGTCGCGCGCGACACATGGCCCCGGCCCCGCGCGGCTTCGGGCCGCCGGGGTGGGGGGGAGAGGAGGGGCCGCCCGGGGACTCGCGGGCGAGGCTCCAGGAGGCCCGGAGCGCGGCTCCTGCGGCCCAGCCCCCGGCCCGGCGCGCTGGCCCGGACACTCACCCGAGGGGCTGGCTCGATGGCGGCGGCGGCGGCGGTGGCGGCGGCGGCAACCCAGCGCGGTCTGCGACCGACTGTCCCTTCCCCCCTGCCTTCCCTCGCCGCCCCGGTGCACTCTGGGAAACGTAGTCCCGTCACGCGCCTTTCTTGCGTCTGTGCCGCCCGGAGGAAACTACGACTCCCGGCGAGCCACGCTCCCGAGGCCCAGACACAGCCCGCAGCGCGGGAGGTGAGGCTTAAGTCAAGGAGGGAGGCTGCCCGGGCGAGCCCCTGAGAATTGTGGTCCAGCGGAAGCCTCTGGAACACCCGAGGTTGGCGCCAGGCTAGGGTCAGGACTAGGTTGTCACTAGGTCTAACTAGTCCGCCCCGCCCAGGCCGCACTGCGGAGGGGAGCTGGCCGCGCCCTGCTTGGGAGCCCGAGCCCGACCCGGCCTGGCCGCCCCCAGCTGGGCCCCCGGGCCCCTTCCGCTCGCAGAACCCCCTCCTCTTTGGGGCTTTGGCGGCGCTTTGCACTGTGCCAGACAGTGCGCAGATAGGGCAGAGTCAGAACCCACAGCTCCTGCTGTCCTAGCATTCTTGCACCATCGTATTGAGGACCGGACCCAAAACCGGTCTGAGCCACTGGAGGCTTTTCTTGAGTTGGGGACCCCCATCTTCGGTTTTGTTTTGGGGCCACGCCCAGCAGTGCTCAAAGGTTACTTCTTGAGTAAGGACTAAGGCTCTAGTCTCAGGGTTCTAGTCTCGTTGGGGTTGGGGGAATCACGTTGGGGTTGGGGGAATCACGTGCCGGGGCTGGGATAACCTCAGCCATGTGCAGGGGAGGCGCCCTGCCTGCCGTTCTTTCTGTCTCCCACCCCAGAGTTCCCAATTTTCAAGTGCGGTTCAACTAGTGATCATATTGGCACAGTTGGGTCTCCAAAATATTGTTTCCAGCAGGCAGGGCAGTCAAAGAGTTTCATTTTTTATTAGTAAAAGAAATAACTGGCACAACCAAAGTTTTCTGGGATCAGCACCCACCCCCCACCCTGCCAATCCAATGTCCTTTCCTTTCAAGGCCCATTTCTTCAATTCCTGGGCAACAATCAAACCTGATGCCCTACAGCTAACCCAGAAGAGGAAAAGCAAGGGAAATAATTACAAGACTTCTCTTGGGAGCTCCAAGCCTTCATGGTTACACTCTTGATATTTTTGATCTTCCGAAAGATTTTAACCTTCACACACCCCACCCCACCCCACCCCACACACTGCCCCAATGGAGATAGCTAATAAGGCCAGACCAAAAGTGCTACTCAAATCCCAGGTCTATACTTTGCTTTTCTTAAGACTCAGGAAGAGAGAACTCTGCTCCCTTGCCCTGAGCTATCAGCCCCACAAGAAACTAAAGCAGGGATGACAGAGAGATAGCTCAAGGGGATGAGCATATGCTTTGAATGCAGAAACCCAGGTAGATTACCAGTCCCTCAGGGTCCCTCAGGCACCACCAGAAGCCACCCCATACCAGCACAAGGCCCCTTAAGCACCACTTGCTCCGGGCCCAAAACAAACAAACTGAAACACTTCCCTGACAATGTTGCTGAGAAACTGAGGTTAGCCAAAGCAGGAAGAGACTAAATTCCTTCCACAAACAGGAGCTAAAGGTTTTAAAAAGCATGGAAGAAAGGCATGGGAAAGCATGCAGCCAAGGGGTCTAGTGAAGGATAGTGGGGACACAGAGTGGACCATAGCTACCAGCAGATGGCTCAGTCCCAGAGAGCCTAGGAGACACTATTGTGTTTCCACCTAGGACTAATTATTCCTAGGCAGGCAGAAGTGCAGCACCCCCCCCCCCATCACAATGTAGCACAACCTACGCCCCACTCTTCTCCAAATTTATTTCTCAAGTTGCTGCCAAGTGACCAGGAGGGGAGCAGAGACTAAAGGAACATTCGAGACCTTCCATTGGAAGCCACCAGGAAATTCTCCAATCCAGTAGCTATTTCTATAATTAACAACAAAAAAAGGGAATCATAGTGTTTTCTTGGGGGAATCATGTTTTATGCAACCCCAAAACCATCCATGTGAACTAACCCCAACAATCATAGTCATAAGGCTCATTTTAAAAGGTACCTGCCTGACCTGAGAGATGGTTGAGGTACTCACTTACCTCTCACACAGCCGACTCTTGTTCAATTCCCAGCACCACCTATGATCTCCAAGCAGTCAGGAATAACCCCTGAACACTACTGTGGCCCCTGGACCCCCTCCCCACTCTACCCCCACAAGAAAAAAAAAGGCACTTGGCTCTACTTAACCCAAAGATGGAAGCAGCCAAGAGGCAGATAACAAATTTCAAAACCCATTATTCCTAAAAGCCCTCAGTGGATGCAGCTCCTTCAGAATCAGTGTCCCAAGGTCTAAAGGATCTGAGTCCAGTGCTCGCAGCAGTGGGCCTTACAGACTTAAGGAACTGCATATCCCCTTTGCCAAACACTGTACCAGACCCAAGGGCTGAAACGATTAGCAAAATTCAACCCCAGCTGAAAATTCAAGAGGAAATTCAAAGCCCTCAGTATGGGCTATGGCAACTCAGTTTAGTTCTCAGTGTCTTCTCCCTGTTGAAAAGACACAGGGAGATGAAACCATTTAGTGCAGTTTCCAAACTCTTTTAAATTGAGCTGAATTCTCTGAGGGCCTTACATGCTTGGGGGCCCCTTTATGGAGAACCCTGAGGATAGTAGCATCTCTTCTCCCAGGATCGGCTGTTCCCTGGGACCTAGAGCCCAGGCCCATCAGGCATACTTCTCCATGCTTCCAGCTTCTAAAAATAAAGTGGCGAAATCCAAATAAAAACCTTACTTTCTGTTTAATTTGTTTTGCCAAACAAACACAGTGAAAACTTTAGTCTAATTGTACAGAAAATAGAATTTGTAACCAGTAGCAAACATAACAGGATAAACCTAAGTCCCTGGCAAGCTGGATCTCCATCAGCAGGTCACCTAGATCCCCAGGTAGATCCTCCTGGGGAAAGAGGTCCTAGGGGGGTGGAGGCACAGATCTGCCAGTCCCCATCACTTACGGGCTGCACCTGGGAAGGAAAAGCATGGAAAGGCGGAGAAATGATGTTACTTGGACCTCTCATTGCTACACCCTGGAGTTCTCTCTGTTGGCTAGCCTCAAAGTGATGTCCTCCCAAATCCCATCCTCTCTGGACAGCCAGCCAGCTTCCCTAAGGGCAGGTCTCAAGTTCAGTGGAGCTGAAGCCTCTGCTTAGCCAGAATCTGCAACATAAACTGGGGATGAAGTGCCGATAGACAAAGTCATAATTGCTGGTGTCTGAGATCCCCCCACCCCTGCTTCAGGAAAAACAAGAGAGGGTGCCAGGTTACCAGCCAAGAATCCAGCTGCCCTAAGACTCAGTACTGTCAGCCAGCGGCCCAGGAGTACAGGGGACTTCAACCGCAGCGGCCTGAGCCCCTCCCAGGCTGGCAGAGGTCTGGGAGTCTGACAAGCCGCGGAGGGGGCCATTCACATTCCGTGCTTCTTGCGGATGACCGCCATGGCCAGCAGCCGGTCCTTCTCGCGGAGCTCCTCTCGCAGCTTGGCCTCGGTGAGACGCAGGTGGCGGATGCTGCCCTTCATCTCCTTCATCTTCACTTCCATCAGCGCCAGGATGTCCCGCTGCTCGTTCAGCTTGCGCAGGAGCTCTTCCTCCGTGGTGCCAGACGACAAGGAGTACGAGTGATCGGAGCCAGTATCGGGGAAGCCCTCCTCTCCCACGACCACCAACTGGGGGCCCAGAGGGCACTCGGCAGCTTCCAGCCCCGCCGTGGCGGCTTCCAGCTCTGTCGCTGCGGCGGCGGCAGCGCCCTCTGCGGCCGCGAACTCCACTTGCACTGTCAGGTCGATGGGCTTCACGTCTTCTCCGGAGGGAGTGGTGGATGCCGGGGCCACGGAGCCGGGCGCCTGGCTGCTGTCAACAGCGGCTTGAAGCGTGAGGAGCACAGCCGCAGAGGCAGACACCAGGTTCGGCTGCAGCTGGGCGGCCTGGGCGGCAGAGGCGGTCGGCGATTGCTGCTGCTGCTGCTGCTGCTGTTGCTGCTGCTGTTGCTGCTGCTGCTGCTGTTGCTGCTGCTGCTGCTGCTGTTGCTGTTGCTGCTGCTGCTGCTGCCTGCGGCGGGCAGCTGCGGCCCCCGCGGGTCTGCGTGCTACTTTGCGCTCGTTGACGCCGCGCAGGGGGAAAATGGTGGGGACACGCACCGTGTAGGTCTTGCGTCCGCCCTGGAAGTGGACGCTGCAGAGACGGTGGCCTGTGGTGGGCTGGAAGGTGGAGAAGCACCCACTGACGCCAGCACGGGACACGTTCTTGAGCCAGAGGCGCCGCAGCTCAGCGTCCTTGGGAAATGTGTAGAAGTGCAGCGCCTTGTCCCGATGCGAGTTGTTGTAGCAGCCTGGTACGCAGCACGTAAAGCCTGGCATGGCTGCGCCGCGCGGCCCGGCCCGGCCCACCGGCCTCTAGGGCTCTTCGACGGCCCGGTCTGTCGGCTGCCGCCCGCCCCTCGACGGGCGGCGCTGCGCGAGGCCTCAGATGGCCTCCCACTACTGCCGCCTGGCTCAGCCGGCTTGGCCCGGCGCCCCGTGCCCGGAATACGCTTCCCGCCGGCCCGCGCCGCGCCGCCCTCCCGGTCGCCCGCCTGCGCTCCGGAGTCGGCCCCGGGGACGCCGCGAAGGACCGCCTGGGAAGGAGGACTACGCCCCCCACAATGCACCGCGCCAGAAGTGGCTCACTTCCGGAAGGGGCGGGCTAATTCCGGGCCTTTTAAAGGGCGCCGCGACAGTCTGCGCGGAGCCGATTCTTGCACTCACACTGCTTTTCGCGGGCTGGTGTATTAGGTTGGAACGCTGTCGCTAGACCGCCCTTTCTAAGGACCCAGAATGCTGATGGGGGTCGGGCGCGGCTCTTCAGTGCGCAAGCGCTTTTGAGCGGAAACTACAAGTCCCATAATGCCTTGTTTGAAACCCTGCGGCTGCCGCCTGCAGCGCCGCCTAAGGGAAAGGGCGGGTTGCGGGAGCGCATTAGGATTCTAGTGAGGTTGTGTTGCATGGTGGGGGGGTCTCCCCAGTGGCGCCAAATCCATTTCTGTAGGACTGGGTGAAGGGGGTACTGAGATCAACG